GTAGTTATATCGAAATGATACTGTAGTTGTGTTGTAATGAAACTATAGTGTATATAAAATGAAACTGAATTACAGTTTCACATATTTGAGTGTACAATGTCGAATGAAACTGTAGTTATATCGAAATGAAATTGTAGTTGTGTTGAAATGAAACTGCAATGTATATAAAATGAAACTGAATATATTATACAAACAGATTTACTTTTATGCTGAACGTCGCGTACGGGTGCCGTTTTCTTCTATTAAAAGAAACGACACCGTTTTGGTCATGGTCTACAATGCTTTGTGGACCGCGGCACACGGTATAATTGCTCCATAGAATGAGGAATCGTTTGGAACCTATTGCTTCAAGTTCGTGCCTATGCCGTGGATTACATCACTTGGAAACAGAGTATACGGCTTGTTTGATAAATAACTGATAACATAAATTTGAAAGATCAGTCATTTTGATATTTTGGCCTCAGTCAAAACACACATTAACATTTAATAATATGACAATTTGGAGCAGCAATATTCGTCTAAATCACAAATTTTATAATCATATTTTGCAGTGTTCGCTTATGGCATTTTGGGAAAAGATTGAGCCTTTTTGGCTTCTCATTTATACACGGTATAATTTGACGTTGTTTTTTTTAGAGGGAGGGGAGGGGAGGGGGTAACCCAGCTAGTTTAATTCCTAGCTCTCGTTGCCTCGTCAATGAGCCAACTCTTCGCCGCATCAGCTTCTAAATGTCTCAAGAACTCATCTGGAGGGTTTGTGAACTCAATCCAATCACACCGTCTTCTCACATCTAGATTGGCAATGGTGTCCAACACGTAATTTTGATCTCTCATAATGTGTTGAACTCTGGCTTCCCAGTCCTTGTTCAGCCAGCTTTTGCACTCACTAATGAGTCGACCACAAGGCCCGAGGATCTCTGTATTTGAGTTGATCCAGTTAACCACCTCTTGCGAGTCACAAAGGAAACAAACATTCGTCTCTCCACTATTCCATGCCCATTTAATTCCAATATAGAGAGCCCAAATATCGCTTTCTGCTACAGTGTCATCCTTCACCATGCAGCTAAAGCCTATCTTCGAATTGCCATCTGCATCTCTCATTAATCTTCCACATCCCACAGGTCTGTCAACATTAATAAAAGAAGCATCAGTATTCACTATAGTGCACTTACCGTATTGGTTGTTTGTATTCTTGCATTGTACTTCCCTTTGTTTCTGGAATGCCTGAAAATTCTGAGCAGCAAAAACGTTGATCCACTCCACTTTGCGCCTCTTGTCCCAATCTTCATTGTTACTATGTGAATTACATCACTTGGAAACAGACTATAGGGCTTGTTTGATAAATAACTGATAACATAAATTTGAAAGATCAGTCAAAACACACATTAACATTTAATACTATGACAATTTGGAGCAACAATTTCGTCTAAATCACAAAATTTACAATCACATTTTGCAGTGTTTGCTTATGACATTTTGGAAAAAGAAGGAGCCTTTTTGGCTTCTCATTTATACACGGGATAATTTGACGTTGTTGAACAATGGCAGATGAATTAGTCCCATAAACGATGGTTGTCTTAGCGATGGAATTATGGAAATACAAATACAGATAATGTGTTGCCACATTAAGGTATATCTCCCCATAATTAGAAACAAAATTAACGTATATGGGATTAAAAGTCAATGTTAAATAAGGACATGTGTAAATTTAATTAGGATTTAAACACGAGATTTAGTCGTATTAAGTTACCTTAAGCCTCGTTTATTTATTGTAATAACGTGTCGGTTAGCTTATTTTACTTATAAAATAAAATTATAGTATTAGTTACGATATTTTTAAATTGGAATAAATTTTATATAGGCCATTGAATTATATGTAAATTTGCAATTGAACCATCCAATTTAAAAATTGCAATTAGGTCTATGAATAATATAATGTCATGCAATTAAATCAAAATTGACTTTTATATCACTAACTAGTATTTCTATGCGCGATGCGCAAAAATTGATGCCCAATATTAATACTCTATATTAAAATCTTAGATTTATTTAGATTTTAGATATTTATATTATATAATAATAATAATAATAATAATAATAATAATAATAATAATAATAATAATAATAATAATGTATATAAAACTCCAATATATAATGTCTATATATTATTAGCATTGAAGAAGATAAGAAAATATATAGTGGATGCATATGCATGGCAGCAATAGTGGAAAAAGATAATGGAAGTTATAATGGTAGGGGTATTTTTGTCTAAAATATTGTATAGTACAACTCTTATAGCATAATGTATACAAAAAAAGTAATGAAAAAAATGGACATAAATGAAAGGTATAACTTTCATTCAGACTTATTAGTTTTTAGATTTAAATAATTAAGATAATAAATATATACTTTCCTCATCATTGAATTTTTTGTTTTGTTTTTGTTTTATTACTACTAACTATATTACAATTAGTTATAAAATCATATCTTGTGTCCTCGACATTGCATTACACCAATAAATAAATAAATAAATAAATAAATATATATATATATATATATATATATATATATATATATATATATATATATATATATATATATATATATATATATATATATTGTTATTCCCGTTAGAGCCTTAAAATCATTGACTTTTATTATATTTATTAGTTTTTTACGCGCATTACACGATTGAGAAAATGCCCAATATTTTTTTTTAAATAAGTACTTTAAAGTATATCAAGGCAAGATTAAATTAGAATTGTTTATGTATAGATAATTGAATGTTGAATTTGCATATTTAAATAGGTAATTCTAAGTTTACAAATGCAAGATAATATAGTCAAGATTGATTATAATTGTCAATAAAATAATTGTATAAGTATGGTTGAAACCAAATACAGGACATAAGGGAGAGCAAATAAAAATTAGGGCATAAAATATTAAATATATACTAATATTGAAGAGTGAACTGCTGATTACCAAACAAGGACATTGCGAGGTAGTTTCCCACTTCAATTTGTTGTGTGATTTGAATACTCTTTTTTGTCAATAAATCTCCCAAGTGGTTAATATGATTGGCTTAATTTTTTTTATTTTTTTAAAACAATTATTATTATTATTATTATTATTATTATTATTATTATTATTATTATTATTATTATTATTATTATTATTATTATTATTATTATTATTATTATTATTATTATTATTAAATATATGTATACCCTTAGGTCATTTTACATGTTAATCTAAACAGCTAACTTTTTCAAATATTTTTTTACCAACCGTTGATATAATTCACTGGTCAAATTCACTAATATAATCCGCTAACGCTAACCGCTAACTGCTGATTGTCAAACAAGGACGTTGCGAGGTAATTCTCACTTTAATTTGTTGTGTGATTTGAATACTCTCTTTGTCAACAAATCCCTCAAGTAGTTAATATGATTTCCTTTATTAATTATATATTTTTTTAATTTTTTCATGGTATTAATTAAATACTTAGTAAATAAATAGAGTTAATTCCATATTTGGTCCTAGACTTATTAGGGTGTCGACAATTTTCATCCTCCATAATTAAAATTGCCATTTAGTAGCCACCGTTATTCAACGGTGGACACTTTTGCTCCTCTGTGAACTTCTTCGTCTCTTGCCCGTCTATGAGAAGGGCAAATAGGTCTTTTAATTGGTCTTCTTCTCTAAGCGTATTAGTCAACTGATTAGTACTTGTACTCCACAACGTTGACGAACAGAACCAGCTCAGAAGTGCGAAGACCACAGTAACCCTAATCTTCTCGAAGGCGAATGCGAAGGCGAGGACGTAGGGAGCAAGCACAATGGAAGGCGTCAGACGAGGCGACAACAATACCCCCGGTAATTTTGGATTTTTATGCGTTGTATGTATACGTATGCGAATAATAGCGAAACCCTAGGTGAATTTGAGTGTTGTGTGTATGTAGTGAACATAATAGTTGCAAAATCGTATGTGTTTTGTTAATGTGTGGTAAAATATGAAATAGGTTGATTTGTTATGCTTGTTGGTGGTATATATAGTGTGAGTTGTGGGAGTTGTGGGTATATAATGAACTGATAAAGTGCAATTTCCTTAGCTTTGCTTTAAATATTCTGTACATGTCAGCGGTTGTTTGTTGTTTGATATACATATGCTTTGAATGGTGTGGTTGGTGTTTCACTTTAAATGTGCAGTACATCTCCATTTGTTTTTGTATTCAAAGGGGGACCACATGGGGTAGTAGCTTTTTTTTTTCTTTGAAAGGCGACCACAATTTGCTTTGTCTGTTTCTCTGTTTTGTTGCTTTGTTGAATTATAATTAGAAAACTGTTTTAATTGCTGTGTTGCTTTGTTGCTTTGTTGCTGTGTTATCTGTTAAATTGCTACATAGATGGAGGAAGTAACACAGCTAAATTCAATCTGAAGTTAAGACATGGTGGTCGTCTTAAGACACATGGAATTGGATATATTGGAGGGGTTGTTAACAGTTTTCATTTAGACATTGATTTGTGGGGCATGATGACTCTTAGGGATACAGTTGAGGAGTTGGGGTACAATATGTTAGACACCTTTAAATATTTCACCCCTACTGGTAGTGACACCCTATTTGAAATAAGTAATGATAGCGATTGTTGGGCTATTTGCGATGTTGGAATGTTTCCCAAAGAGATTGAGGTTTGGGTAGTAGGTGGTGTAGAAGGTGATGATGAAGCACCATCAGTAGAAAGTGAGGGTGATGAAGAATCTGGGGATTTTTTAGATGACTTTGAGAACAGTGCTGATGAAGTGGGAAATGATGACCAAGAGTCTGAGGCCAATGTTGACAACAATGTGTGATGGGGTAAGAGAAAGTGGACAACCAGTAGCTGGGGTAAGAGAAAGTGAACAACCTGTTGGTGGGGACAGTACTAGGGTTGTAGACAATGATCATGGTCTACAATTGTCTGATGAAGACAGTGGTAAGGACAGTGATGAAGAAGGCAAAATGAAATGGCCAGAATTTAGGTCTACCACTCAAATGCGTACCCCAAAATTCTGTGTTGGTTTAACATTTGCATCAAAGGTAGAATTCAAAGATGCAGTCCACAATTATGGTTTCAACAATGGTAAGGAATTGAAGTTTATTAGGAATGACAAAGAGAGGGTCTATGTTAGATGTAAACAAGTTGGCTGCCCTTTCAGAATTAATCTTTGGAAAGTTAAAAATGCCTTGTCATGGAGAATTGCCAGTTATAATGAATTGCATGATGGCTGTGGTTGGGTTTATGAGAACACCATGGTTAAATCAACTAGGATTGCAAAGAGATGGATGAAAGAGATTGGTGGCAACAGCAACTGGACCACTGCAGAATTTAGAGAGAGGGTTAAAGCAGATGAGGGGTTTGATTTGTCCACCAAGCAAGCCTATAGAGCTATGAGAAAGGCAAAGGAAGTCATTGAAGGTGAAGCTATTGAATTTTTCAACAAAATATGGAGCTACAAGTTGGAGATTGAAAAAACAAATCCTAACACCACATGCAAGGTAAAGGTAAGTGACTTACTATATGATGGAAAACCTAGGTTTCTAAGGATGTATTTCTGCTGGGAGGCTTCAAAGGAGGGATATAAGTTCTGTAGGAAGCTAATTGGAGTTGATGGTTGTCATCTAAAAACAAAATTTGGAGGTCAATTATTAACAGCTATTGGGATTGATGGGAATGACAGTATCTTCCCACTGGCTTATGCCATTGTTGAAGGAGAAACCAAGGATTCATGGATCTGGTTCTTGAATTTCATTAAAACAGACCTAGAAATCACTCGAGAAGAAGAACACCAGCTTACATTTATCTCAGGTATAAACATTTATCTCATACCAGTGTATGTTTTCTGTTTTCTGTTTACATTTATCAAAGGAAGCTAATTGTAATATGTTTTCTGTTTTTAAATTGGTTGCAGACAAACAGAAAGGGCTTCTACCAGCTTTTGTAGAAGTGTTTCCATATGCCTCACATAGATTTTGTGTGAGGCATCTTCATGGGAACATGAAGCTTGCAGGATTTCAAGGCAAAGCAATGAAGGATGCACTCTGGACAGCAGCCAAGGCAACTACAGTTAACAGCTTCAGAGAAGCTATGTTAGAACTCAGGAAGTTGGATGAAGAGGCTTATCAGTGGCTAGGAGATAAACACCCTTCAGAATGGTCAAGGTCACATTTCACTCCCTTTGCTAGAAGTGATGCCTTAGTTAACAACATTTCTGAAAGTTTCAATGCCCTTATAGTAGATGCAAGGAAACAACCTCTGATTTATTGTCTAGAAAGTATTAGGAAATTGTTGATGACAAAGTTCTTTGAAAATAAACAAAAACCTGTGAAATGGAAAGGTCCTTTCTGTCCTAACATAATGAAAAGGTCCTTACCATTACCACTGGTAAAATAAGCAATTAACAATACAATAAGCCCACATACAACAAGCAGCTTCATTGAACTACATCTTTTGCTCCTACGCATATCCTTCAAATCACCATCTTCCCCTCTTGGAACACTTCTAGGCTTTGATTTTAATTTTGCTATTTCTTCTTCACATTTGTTAATTCTCTTCAGAAGCCCCGGTATAATCCTCTTAGACCTAGGGCACATTGGAGGATCATACCACTTCACATAATTGTAAATTAAAGAAATGCATATGTATTATTTTTTGTTGTAGCTACTAAATTATTATTTAATAAGAGTAAAATAGAGTACTAATTATGCCAACTTTGATTAGGATGAGGTTCGAACCTAAGACCTTTCTTATTGAAATCAATGAGTAAGTTAACGGTGAACTAACAGAAATTAACGGAAAAGATAATATTTAATGGAAAAGTTAACGGAAAATCATATTCATTAAGGACAAATTAGGAAATCTTAAGGAAAAATTAAAATCTGATCAATCTGAGCCCTTCATTTGATTAAAAAAATTTGACCGCTATTTTTTCTACCCATTATAGGCCTAACTCTCTTGGGATCTTATTAGTATAGTAGATACTAGTATTTTATATGCATTATATGCAAAAATACGTGCCAATATTGATTATTAATGTTAAAATCTTAATTATATTAAAATATTTTTAAAAATAATAGTATTTTTTAATTCTCTATTGCAGAATTTATATTATATTAAAAATATAGTTGATAATTTAAGTAATTATTATGGTAAGAGTAATATTGTTAAAGTAAGAATTTTAGATATAATAAATTACTAAATTTCCTCAAAAAAAAAATTACTAAATATAAGTATGATAACGGTTGGTTTTAGGATTTTTGGGCCCAGGGAGGTCCAACACAACCTTAGTTGGTGGATTCACCTTTCAAAATAGAACGCAAGTAACTTGCACGAAAAATGAATAATCCTGATATGTATTGTGGGTCTGCTCCCGCCCTCCCACTTTTACATTCTCAAGGAGCCCTTTTTATAGTGGGTCACCCTTTGGATCATTTGAAAGCTTACATTTAAAGGTCATAAATTAGCTTATTAACTCTAGGGGCCGTTGGGCAGCTGTTACTAGGTCTCCTAACGGCTTGCATGACTGGGCCTTTTAATAGGCCTATTAAATGCCAACGGCTATTTTTAGGCCGACTTCTTACTCGCGCCGACCTCGCGCTCGCCCCGACCTCCAACTCGAGCCGACTCCCTGTGTTGGCCTGGTTCTATCTTTTGGGCCTATCATTCTCTGGGCTTGATCCTTTTCCCTTCTTGGGCCCTAAGCCTGTTGGGTCCGTACCCCATCAACTAGTCCCTCACTTTTCAATATTGAGCCCCCATCTAGCTTGAATATTGGAAAGTATCCGCCTTCTTCTATGAAGACTGTGTGGATTATTCCTTAATCTCTTCTTCTTAATGTCCGAATCACTGCCGGATCTCCTGCGATTTCCTTGATTCTATCCTCTTGATTTGTTTTCCTTGGCTCCTGATTTGCACCTCGAGCCTATAAATGGCGCATCCTGCCTTCATCCAACTCCATTTTCCTTGTCATCATGGGTCGTCCGCCGATCAGAGGGAAGAAAATTGACTTCGGGTCGCCATCCCGTTCCCCTCCCGCCAAACGGTCGAGATCCGAGAAGGGGAAGAGGAAGGTTCGTAAGCCTGCCCCTCGTAAGCACTCTGCTGGTTTTACCTCTTCTGGTTCGCGGATGACGGAGGAGGTTCCACCTCCGCCCGTCGACCCTTCTCCTCTGGTCGGTCCACCTCCTCAGACTATGGCTCGTGTAACGGGTGAGGACGGGACCTTTGTGGAGGTGGCCGTCCCGGAACAACTAGCCTTTCAAATGACTTTCACAATCCCGCTGCATGACCCTGCCGAGCGAGCCTCTGATCTGATGTCGGATGCCGACTATGCTCGCTTCCTCGAGCTGTACCCGGAGGACGAAGCACAAGTGGTTCTTCCTCTAATGCCGGCCTTCTGGGACACAGTATGCCCCTCCCCCGGTGGTTCTGGTTCGTCCGACGAAATGGCTTTCCTAGATGAGCCATATTCACCCGAGAAGTGAGTCGGGCCGACTGAGGGGTTGAGCAACTGAGTGCAGAGATTCATGGTGGCGAGTGAGGAATCTTGGGGAGAACCTACTTAGTATTTTTTAAATAAAGTTTTCCCTTTCTGTTGATGTACCTGAACTCTTTTAATAAGAAAGGCGAATTATCTTGGTTTCCTTATTTTCCTTCTTTCCTCTCGGACGTGTGATTATGTTTTCATAATAATGCTCCTTGCATTCCCCGAGGTTGGTCGCGTGCTTCCTAATTTGTAATCATTCCATATCTAGGGAAGATTATATTCTTCTGACGGTGCCAGGCATCTTTCCTTATTCAGATGGGATTGATGGAGGTTTTCCTGACATAGATTCCTGATCTCGTCCAATCCTTCACCCATGCCAAGAAACGGCAGTTTCCTTTCTCCGAGATTGGCTCTGTGATATCTGCGCGTCCCGGTTATAAATAGGGCCTCCCTCTTCATTTGCCTATTGTGCTTCCCGTATTTCTTTGTTGCTTTCCTTCCCTTCATCTTTCTTTCTCCATGAGCTACAGGGATGGTGAACGGCGCTCCTCCATTTGTCTGAAGGAGCAGGCTCGTCTGAAGGCACTGAGGCAGCGAAGGCTAGCCCATGGTGGTCGTCTGGTAGGAGATTCTGACTCGGACCCCATCGTGGTTTCACCGGACGCTCTGGACGTGGCACCTGGGGACTCGGTCAACCGACGTGTGGAGCCCGTGGTAAACGAACTGCCGCCGGACGAGGAAGATGTATGGGAGGTTCCTCCTCTTTTTGGGGTGGCCAATTCTCCAAGTGCTCTGGAAATTCCCCTTCAAATGGTTGATGACGGGGAGCCGCCGGTCTTCTTAGACAATACTCCGGACGAGACGTTAGCCCCAGCCCCGTTCATACCTCAGCTATTCCTGGAGGGCCCACCGCTGCCTGCTGCTGAGCCCTCGTCCCGCCCCTTTGAGAGGAAGGCAGACCCATGATCTTGCTTTTTCTTTCTATGTTGTCATCTTGCATTTGGGCCATGCTCTACTGATGTATGCTTTCATTTTATCAATAAAACGTTGTTTTCCGGCTTTCTTTGGGATCGAATGGTTCCCCCACTATTCGGGGCTTTAGGCGGCGTCATACCTTTAGCTCGCGGGCCCATCATCTGGGCAGATGGGTCCATTTGATCCGACTATTGGGCTTGGTCGATGAATAGTCTAGGCTCGGGGCCTAAACATAGCGTGGGGTCGGCTCAATGTCTATCCCAGAGTCTGCCATGGTCGCGTCGTTGGTGCTGACTATATACTCGGATGAGCCTATGGCTTGTCCGCGAATTGGCCTATTATTCGAGCGAGCTAGCCATTCGAATCGCCCTAGAGGGTTGTCCCAGAATCAGGTTGGGCCTGGGATTCGGCAGGCCGGGTTGCTTTGACCCTACGTATGCCTAGACGCGCCGTCTGAGCCAACCCTAGTCTAACCGCCATTCCAGTTTTCGAGGGGCATTAAATGCTTTTCGCATCAATCAACCCCTCTTGACAACCAATGGGCTCTTGACACGTGTTGGCCTCTTGGGATTCTCCCAAATTATAAGTTCTCCTTCCCCCCTCTTCACCGTGCATACTTCCTAAGGCAAGAGACAGTGATCAAGAACTCCACTTCTCCGTCCAGCTCTCTCAACTCTTCCGGTGTTTTCAGGTTGGTGGCCTTCTGTTTTTTCTTCAAAAATATCGTCGTCTTCCTGTCCCTCGCCATCTCGCCTCCCGGTGGTATCTTCCACCATTTCTTCTCTGTCCTCTTCTCCATCTTCTTCTCGTCGTCCGTCGATGCCTTCTGATCTTCCTTCCCCATCTTCTTCTCAGCTAGCCCCCTCTTCCCCAGGGGCAGCTGTTCCTTTGAGTCCAGCCCCACTAACAACGGTGGCGGCTCTTCCCGACGGCGTTCAACGGCCTAAGGGTAGCTTTGAGTCCGTGGACCCTCCGGCGCCTACTCCGTCGTTGATGACGGAGGCAGATTTCGAGATGGCTCGCTTTCTGCTGGGCCCATCGGCCGACGTTCTTCCTCCGGGGAACCGCTCCATTTTTGACCCGCCGGAGAGTTATGTGGGCATTCATCTACATTCGGTGGCCTTTGGTTTCCGAGTGCCACCCCATCCTTTTCTCTCCTTATTCTTCCGTTATTACAACCTGGTCCCCGGTCAGCTGGTCCCTAACTCCCACCGCCTTTTGGTCTGTTTCATAGTCCTCTGTCGATGGTGGCTCTGTGACCCATGTATAGAACTGTTCCGGTGTTTGTACTCGGGGCTTTGTGCAAGTATCCCATCGTCCGGGGTGCGTGCTATTTGAGGATCTTCCAGACTCTGTGAAGGACTGAAAGCCATTCTCCTTCTTTATTCGTCCTTCTTTTTCTTTACCTCCTTTTACATTTCCGACCATATGGTCAGCCACCCTCTTTAAACCTTGCCCCCGGCGAACTTTCTTCACTAAAGAGGCGACCAGGGGTACCAAGTTTCTGAAGAGGATAGGGACTTACTGTGCCCAACGATGGTCGCGTCTTCGAGCTATGGCGAAGTGGGGTCTTTTACCTGCTGGGGCGGCCACCACAGGTAGTCTTTTATCAGACCTCTTCCCCTGTCTTTTCTTTGGGTAGACCACTGAACCTTTGTCTCTTTATTTGTGCACAGGACTTGACGACTTTGCGTCCGACTCTTCCGAGGAGATCGACATCCAAGCTGAACCCATGGGCGACCGTGCTGAAAAGATGAAGCGCCGGATGGCTCAACGCTCGACCGGCACCCCTTCTGCGTCGACCCCGCTTCCTCCTCCGGCGCCACGCACCATTCTGACGGGGACGGTGGTCGATCTATCGACCTCGCCAGTGGACTCTCCATCTCACCTCCCGTCGGCTTCGACGGAGAGCCCAAGCTCGAAGTGGCCTTTGGAGCCGTCGAAAGTTCCTCCGCCCAAGAAGATCCGAGTTGGCCTGGAGTTGAACGCCGATGCCCAGATATGGCAAGGTGACTTTTCAGTTCAGACCTGAGCAGAACACGTGATCCTCCCCAAGGATTTTGAGTCGGCTGCCAAGCTGACGGACGAGTTCATCCTGGAGGCCTCTCTACTTCAGTCTTACCGGGTGAGTATTCAAATTCTCCTCTTCACTCGTGTTTTACACTAGTTCTCTTTTTCCTTACTCCCTTTGAGTTGACAATGTTCCTTCCTTCCTTTTAGAACCTTGCTTTCCAACTAGAGCCTAGGAAACGGATGCGAGCCTTGAAGGCCAGGACGAGTAGCCTCAACTCTCGCCTGCTTCAATCACACGAGGCTCGCAAAGAAGAGCACGCGGCCTTTGCCAATGAGAGGGAGGTTCATCTGGCCGAGCTCCTCAGGGTGACCCGTCTATGGGAAGAGGAGCAGAAGAAGGTGGCGACCGCTGTTGCCAACTACAAGGGGTCGGCTGTTTTTTAGGCGGACGTGACGACAGCAGTGGAAGGTCGACTGGAGGAGCTGGCGAAGAAATGGCTGGCCACCCCCGAGGGAGACGACTACCTGCTCGATTTAGGTGAGCGCGATTTCTGCCTCGGCTACCGGGAAGCGCAACGTGAGGTCTATGCCAACTTGTTGGCCCGCTATTCCTCCTTTACTCCCCAAGGTTGGGTTCTGAAGCCAATTGTGGCGCCGCTTCCAGCACCTAAGGATGTTGCAGTTGTCTCCCCTCAAGCTCCACCAAGTTTGCCGACGGCGACTGATACGACTTTGCTAGCTGACGCTCCTCTCGGTCTAACGGTTTCTCTGGTTAGGGACGCGCTTCCTCAGCCAGAAGACTCTTTGCCCAATCCCCCTGCTGGACCAACAGCGGGTGAGCGGGTCGAAGGTCGTGAAGAGGTTGCGGCGACTTCCCCCATAGCTTAGGATTTCTTTTGCTTTTCTTTCAATGTTTTGTACGGGGCTGGTCCCCTTTTGAACCTTTTAATGAAAGCTTTCTTTTTACCTTTTATCTCACATACATTATCCTGCGCATTCTTTAAAACATGACTTTAAAGGTTTAGACTTTGGTTCTTTCTTTCCTACCGAGTCCCTCAATCGAGGCGACTCCTTAGTTTTTTTCTCTTAGAAACGTCTAAGGGTCAGTGCCCTTGGTTTCTTTCCCTTTGCTCACCGAGTCCCTCAGTCGATGCGACTCCTTAGGCTTCTTTTTTTCTTAGAAACGTCTAAGGGTCGGTGCCCTTTGTTTATTTCTCTTTTCTCGCTGAGTCCCTCAGTCGAGGTGACTCCTTAGGCATTTTTTTTTCTCTTAGAAACGTCTAAGGGTCGGTGCCCTTTGTTTCTTTCTCTTTTCTTGCCGAGTCCCTCAGTCGAGGCGACTCCTTAGGCTTTTTCTTTCTCTTAGAAACGTCTAAGGGTCGGTGCCCTTTGTTTCTTTCTCTTTTCTTGCCGAGTCCCTCAGTCGAGGCGACTCTTTAGGCTTTTTCTCTTAGAAACGTCTAAGGATCAGTGACCTTTGTTTCTTTCTCTTTTCTTGCTGAGTCCCTCAGTCTAGGCAACTCCTTAGGCTTTTTCTCTTAGAAACGTCTAAGGGTCAGTGACCTTTGTTTCTTTCTCTTTTCTTGCCGAGTCCCTCAGTCTAGGCAACTCCTTAGGCTTTTTCTCTTATAAACGTCTAAGGGTCAGTGCCCTTTGTTTCTTTCTCTTTTCTTGCCGAGTCCCTCAGTCGAGGCAACTCCTTAGGCTTTTTCTCTTAGAAAAGTCTAAGGGTCAGTGCCCTTTGTTTCTTTCTCTTTTCTTGCCGAGTTCCTCAGTCGAGGCGATTCCTTAGGCTTTTTCTCTTAAAAACGTCTAAGGGTCAATGCCCCTTGTTTCTTTCTCTTCTCTTGCCGAGTCCCTCAGTCGAGGCGACACCTTAAGCTTTTTCTCTTAGAAACGTCTAAGGTTCGGTGCCCTTTGTTTCTTTCTCTTTTCTTGCCGAGTCCCTCAGTCAAGGCGACTCCTTAGGCTTTTCCTCTTAGAAACGTCTTAGGGTCAGTGCCCTTTGTTTCTTCCTCTTTTATTTCCGAGTCCCTCAATCGAGGCGACTCCTTAAGCTTTTTCTCTTAGAAACGTCTAAGGGTCAGTTCCATTTGTTTCTTTCTCTTTTCTTGCCGAGTCCCTTAGTCGAGACGACTCCTTAGCCTTTTTCTCTTAGAAACATCTAACGGTCAGTGCCCCTTGTTTCTTTCTCTTTTCTTGCCGAGTCCCTCAGTCGAGGCAATTCCTTAAGCTTTTCTTAAATCTTTAAACATGAGCGGCCTTTGACACTAGGCGCAAAAAAAATGTTTATTCATAGTTATGTTCAAGAATTACAACTGAGGCTAACCTTTCACTGGTAATATTTCTTCAAGTGGAGTACGTTCCAAGTCCGATCGACAAGCTCTCCGTCCAAGGTTTCCAGCTTGTAAGTGCCAGCTTGAACCACGTCCGCTATCCGGTAAGGTCCTTCCCACTTGACCGTGAACTTTCCTCCCTCGGTGGGCCGGCTGGCCTGTCGATCACGTAGAACAAGGTCCCCTACTTGGAATGCCCGAGGTCGGATGCGCTTATCACGATACCGTTTGACGGCCTGCTGATACTCCACTATACGGGCGTGTGCTGTCTCCCTTCGTTCTTCTAGAAAGTTTTTCTCAATCCTTAAGCTCTCCTCGTTTCCTTCATCTGTGTAGTGGCTAATTCTGTAAGTGGGCTCGACGACCTCTACAGTTACTTTTGCTTCAAAACCATAAGCCAGCGAGAATAGACTCTCGCCAGTGGCCCGTCTCTGGGTGTTTCGATAAGCCCACAATACCCGATCTAATTTGTCCGCCCAATTTCCTCCTACGTCCTCCAGTTTCTTGCGAATACCGTCCGCAATGGTGCGATTCATGTTTTCGACCTGTCCATTGGCCTGAGGATAGGTGACCGACACCTTGGTGTGCAGAATGCTATGCGCTGAAAAAACTCCATGAAGGGCCTGCAATCGAACTGTCGGCTGTTGTTACTGACCAAATATTCGGGCAAACCGAAGCGGCAGATTACCTTCTTCCATAGAAAATATCGACATTGATACTCAGTGATGGTGGCTAGTGGCTCAGTTTCCACCCATTTGGTGAAGTAGTCGATGGCCACTACACAAAACTTAAAGCGTCCGAGTGCGAGCGGTAAAGGGCCTAATAGGTCGATTCCTCATTTAGCGAATGGAATGTTAGTAGTGACTCGGGTATAGAAGGTGGCAGGCCGAGTATCCTTCCGTGCAAAAGCTTGGCACACAGTACACTTAGCTATCCAGCCGATGCAGTCTCTCATCATGGTGGGCCAGTAAAAACCTTGGACGACCAACTTTCGGGCGAGAGTGTGGGCACCTTGGTGAGCGGCGCATATTCCCCGGTGGGCTTCATCCATTAGCCTCTCCGCTTCGGGCTTCCGCAAACATTTGAGGAGGGGTCCACCGAACGACCTCTTGTATAACCGTCCGTCGATGATTTCGAAGGAAGGGGCTTTTCTGCGGACGCGAGCGGCGACCGCTGGGTCGTCGGGCAGCTTCCCGTTCTCCTTGTATTGTAGAATGTCTTCGATCCAGAACATCTCAGGGTTATCAGTACGGTACCAATTCGGCACCATTACCTGCTGGATTTCCTTTCCCGGTTCCTCAATGCTTGGTCGATGCAGCTCTTCCTTTTGACAGATCCTTAGGAGGTGATCCGGTATTCCTTCCAAGGCTATCTTTGACAAGATGTCGGCTTCTGTGTTTTCAGTTCGCGGGATGTGCTCGATCTCATACGCCACGAATCCTTTTAGCAGCTCCTCGGTTTTTTCCTTGTACTGTATCAGCCGTGAATTCTTGGCTTCACAGGTTCCTGAACTTGCCCGACTCTGAGGCATAGTATAGTCGAAAACCCTCCGGGGTGATTAACATGACTCCACCGCCGTAGTGCTGGCTGCTTGCGGCTCCATCGGCGTGTAATTCCCACCACTCTCCTGTGCTTTCTTCTGTGGCCGGGGTTCTGCCGCCTTCTGCTCCTACCGTACACTCGACTATGAAGTCGGCCAATGCCTGCCCCTTAATTAATGGTCGGGGTTGATATTCGATCCCATAGTGGGTCAATTCCACCGCCCACTTGACCAGTCGCCCCGAGGACGTGGGATTATGCAACACGCAACCCAAGGGTTGATCTGTTAGGACTCGGACGGTGTGTGCTTGGAAGTAAGGTGCCAACTTTCGTACGGTGACCACCAGTGCGTATACCACCTTCTCGAGGGGGGTATAACGAGTTTCAGTGGATTTCAAGGACCTGCTGACATAGTAGACTGGGTACTGTGTTCGCTCTTCTTCCCGAACGAGCACCGAACTGACAGTCTTGGAAGATGCCTCCAGGTATAGGTACAAAGGGTCACCGACCTGGGGAGTGGAGAGTACGGGAGGTGTTGAGAGATACCTTTTCAATTCTTCAAAGGATTCTAGACACTCAACGGTCCATGCGAAGCCTTCCTTTTTCTTCATGGCCTCAAAGAATGGTATGGTCTTGTCCGCCGATTTGCTAAGGAATCGGCTTAGTGCGGCCAATCGACCGGTCAGCCTCTGGAGGTCTTTTATGGTACTGGGAGGCTACATGCCCATGATAGCTTGGACCTTCTCAGGGTTGGGCTCAATGCCCTTTTGGTCACCATGTACCCCAGAAACTTTCCTCCTTGCACGGCGAAGACACATTTTTTGGGGTTGAGCCGCAAATTGTATTTTAACATCACCTGGAAATATTCAACTAGATCTTGGGCATGGCCCGACTCTTCCCGACTTTTTACCAGCATATTGTCCACGTATGCTGCCATAGACTTTCCTAACAGGTCTTGTAATAGCCCAGCAACCATTTGAGTATACGTGGCCCCTGCATTTTTTAGTCCAAAGGGCATTACCTGGTAGCAGTATACGCCTCCGGGAGTGATGAATGCCGTCTTCTCTTCGTCAGCTATGTGCATTTAGATCTGGTGGTACCCTCGAAAGGCGTCCATGAAGCTCAGTAGGGCCGACCCCGCTGTTTCATCGACTAATTGATAGATCCTAGGCAGAGGAAAAGGATCCTTTGGGCAAGCTTTATTGAGGTCGGTATAGTCGACGCACATTCTCCAAGCAGGCGGTTTTGGTACCAGTACCACATTGGCCAATCAATCTGGGTATTTTACCTCTCGAATGTGGCGGGCCGCGAGAAGTGTGACGACCTCCTTTTTCACGAATTCCCGTTGGTCGTTCGCCAAATAATGTTTCTTCTGAATCACGGGTCGGTAGCTAGGATCTACCGCGAGTCCATTGGAAATGATAGAACGGTCCACGCCCGGCATGTCTCCGGTTCCCAAGCGAAGACCAGCCGATTCTCGCGGAGCACGCGTATGACCTCGGCTCGTACTTCCTCCTTGAGGCCGACTCCAATTCTTACCCGCCTCTCGGGTTGTGCTGGATCAATCTCAACTTCTTCGAGTTCTACCGCGGGCTCGAGCCGAGGTGGTACCGCTTTCTTCGTAACTCGCTCCGTAATTTCATGCACCCGCATCTCCCGTCTTCCCATTCACCGGCACGCCTACAAATAGCATTCGCGGGCAGCCCTCTGGTCGCAACGTGCCGTGCCTACTCAAGTCGGTGCGCGAAACTTCAAGAATAAATGCTCAACGGAGGTCAATGCTCCCAAGTCCTCCAGACCAGGTCGTCCGAAGATAGCGTTGTGGGAGCATACCAAGTTGATTACGATGAACTTCATGTCCAGCTTCTGGACGTTGGGGTAACTGCCAATCTCTACTGGTAAGGTGATGGAGCCTTCAGCCTCTACGGAGTCTCCGGTGAAACCTACCAGTGTTTTTACCGAGGCTAGCTGTTCCCGTGTCAGACCCAACTTGGCGAAGGTCTCGAGATACAGGATGTTGACACTGCTTCCTGTATCTACCAGAATCTGTCGAACTACTACTCTGTTGATGTCCATTGCGATAACCAGCGCGTTGCGATGGGGCGTTTGGTTGGTCGGTAGGTCTTGGTCAGTGAAGGTTATAGGCTCTCGGCATACTTTCTTCGGGCTGTTTTCTCGTCCGTACACCGTGCCTACGTACAATTTCCGGGCCCACGTTTTGCGATTGTTAGAGGAATCACCTCCTTCCGAACCACCGACTATCATGTTGATGACCGGCTTCTGTCTCCACTCAAATTATTACCCGCCTCTCGGATTGTGCTGGATCAATCTCAACTTCTTCGAGTTCTACCGTGGGCTCGAGCCGAGGTGGTACCGCTTTCTTCGTAACTCACTCGGTAATTTCATGCACCAGCATCTCCCGTCTTCCCATTCACCGGCACGCTTGCAAATAGCACTCGCGGGCAGCCCTCTGGTCGCAACGTGCCGTGCCTACTCCTGTCGGTGCGCGGAACTTCAAGAATAAATGCTCAACGGAGATCAATGCTCCCAAGTCCTCCAGATCGGGTCGTGCGAGGATAGCGTTGTGGGAGCACGCCAAGTTGACTACGATGAACTTCATGTCCAGCTTCTGGACGTTGGGGTAACTGCCAATCTCTACTGGTAAGGTGATGGAGCCTTCAGCCTCTACGGAGTCTCCGGTGAAACCTACCAATGTTTTTACCGAGGCTAGCTGTTCCCGTGTCAGACCCAACTTGGCGAAGGTCTTGAGATACATGATGTTGACACTGCTTCCTGTATCTACCAGAATCCGTCGAATTACTACTCCGTTGACGTCCATTGCGATAACCAGCGCGTTGCGATGGGGCGTTTGGCCGGTCGGTAGGTCTTGGTCAGTGAAGGTTATAGGCTCTCGGCATGATTTCTTCGGGTTGTTTTCTCGTCCGTACACCGTGCCTGCGTACAATTGCCGGGCCCATGTTTTGCGATTGTTAGAGGAATCACCTCCTTCCGGTCCACCGACTATCATGTTGATGACCGGTTTCTATCTCTACTATGCTTCATCCTCCGCGGAAGCCAGTTGCTTGCCATGGTCTAGGTCGGCCGATCCGGAGGGGTCGTAGTCTACCCTGGTTTGAGATTCGTTCCTCTTCGCCATTGATTAGGAGGCGAAGTACCTTGCTGGAAGATCCCCTCCATGATCTTTTTAAATAATAGCAATCTTCCGTGTTGTGGGTGTAAGTTTTGTGACAGTGACAGTACTTGGATGTCTTACCAGGGTCCGCACTGGCCGTGTGCTCTACCGGCTGAGGCGGCGGGGGCGGCTCACTTGTTTTAACTTCATGCACCGGGCGTGGAGGAGGCGGTCGATAAGAGTGCGTATTGGTTCTGTAATAGATGCGTCTGGCCTCCCGACGGCTCGGCTGGTCCTCCCGATGATTCTCCCTTACCACGGTTCTGGTTCGTTTTCCCCCAGAGGTCCCGCTGACCTCACGCTGTTGTTTATATTTCATCGCCTGCTCAGTGTTGGCCATGTGTATGGCCTCCGCGTACGTGGCCGGTCGATTATCTCGTAGGTCACGGTACAGCTGGCCAGACCGGAGCGACTCGATGAAGAACGTAAGCGCGGTCTGATCTTCAACCTCCTTGATAGATTGGATATCCTTCTGCCACCGAGCCAAGTACGTTTTGAGCGATTCTCCTTCATCTTGATGGATGTCGCCGAGGTGTGTGAGATCCTTTTGGGGCTTTATGTTGGCAGCGTAATGACTCATGAAACGATCGGCCAGCCCTTCAAAGCTACGGACTGATCCTGGTGGCAAGGCGACGAGCCACCTCTGAGCTGGTCCTTTTAGGGTCGGCAGGAAAGCGCGACACATGACAGGGTCCTTGACCCCTAAGACCTGCATTTTCGCCTAGTAACTTAAGAGGTGTTCACGCGGGCCGCCCGTCCCATCGAAGGTGGCTTGTTCTGGGAATTTGAAGTCGCCAGGTATCCTATAGGCCATGATTTCGGCCGAGAAGGGCAAGGCGGTGAGCAAAGTCTGACCAGGAGACTTGGTCTTGCCCTCCACTTGCTCCTTCAGGTTACGCAGTTCCTGGGTCAGATAAGCCATCTCGCCAGAGTTCCTGGTATGATTTCTGGTGGGGATTCAGCTTGTCGATCCTCGTCCCTGACAGGCCTCTCAGTCCGTCGTCCCTGGGTTCTGGTTCTTCTGGTGTATGTCCTTCTTTCTCGGGTGGTCTCATGATTCTGCCAACCTGGCCACACTCAGCTGGGTGCTCCTCTACCTAACCGCTCTTTTGTTGATCGGCGAGTTGCATTCGGGCCCAACCTAGAATGTACAGATCGGACTGGCGGGTCTTCTGCCCTCCGGTCATCTCGCCTATCTCCGTTAGACCCCTGGGGCGGATGTTGATTTTGCGGCTGCGGCTGCGACGATCGGGAGATCGATGGTTCCCTCAGTTCCCGGGTTTACACAACCACGGCGCGAGCGATGACGTCAATCTGCGCGGGGGTGAGAGGCATCAACGATAGAGGCCGATTTTGAGGTGCCGAATCACCTCCCTGACTTTGTGAGTTTCATTGGTTCAACTGGTTCCATAGGTCCGCCCCCAGCACGCTGTTACGATCTGAGGCGTGACTTCGATCCTCAGCCATTGCTTCAGGCCTCTGCCCCTGGCGGCTTGGCTTTCCATCCTATCTTTCGACTCCTTTCTCGATCTTGAAAGCGAACGTAACTTCTTGTTACGTCCCCACGGACGACGCCAGTGTTGGTTTTAGGGATTTTGGGCCCAGGAGGTCCAACACAATCTTAGTTGGTGGATTCACCTTTCAAAATAGAACTCAAGTAACTTGCATGAAAAATGAATAATCCTGATATGTATTGTGGGTCTGCTCCCGCCCTCCCACTTTTACATTCTCAAGGAGCCCTTTTTATAGTGGGTCACCCTTTGGATCCTTTGAAAACTTACATTTAAAGGTCAAAATTTGGCTTATTAACTCTAGGGGCCGTTGGGCAGCCGTTACTAGGTCTCCTAACGGCTTGCTTGACTGGGCCTTTTAATAGGCCTCTTAAATGTCAACGGCTATTTTTAGGCCGACCTCCTACTCGCGCTTGCCCCGACCTCCAACTCGAGCCGACTCCCTGTGTTGGCCCGGGTCTATCTTTTGGGCCTATCATTCTCTGGGCTTAATCCTTTTCCCTTCTTGGGCCCTAAGCCTGTTGGGTCCGTACCTCATCAGTAACATTTAACTAAAGTCTAAATTGTAATTTTGCATTCCCTCTTTTTTAAACAGATTAACTGGATTAATCAACTGACGAAATGTACTGACGGATTCAGCGATGAAGTCAGTCAGTAATAATAAATCATAGAGAAGATAAAAGAGAAAAGAACAACACAAAGCCAAAGACACAGAATGTTTACCCAGTTCGATACAGTGTGTATCTACGTCTGGGGGACGATCACATAGGCGTCCAATCCACTAAATCATAATCCAATGTACAAAGGTAGATATACAATAATCTTACCCATGTACCCCACACAAGGTACATACCCAGTCTACACAGGTTTAGTGGATTGTTGAAGATGGAGAGCCATGCATACAGAAGTCCAATGAAATCCCTTCACTTGGAGAGCTCACTCTGATGCAGTCCACTTCAATGACGCTCTATACAGTTGTTCCCACAACAGTGTGATCACAGTGTCCTTTCGTTTAAGCAGCAGTGATTCTTCTCAAGTTCATCATCTTAATCACCATGAAGATGTTGTATTGAGAAGATGCATGACAATCAAAGATCTAGTCTCATATAGCAGATGTGAAGTGTTTCTTCTTGCGTAAGGCGTAACCATAATTCTCTTAAAATGATGGTACTTATAGATCCGTCGATAGAACACTCCTTCCAAAGATGTCTTTGATTGTAGATGGTAGGACAATATTTGAAGAAAGTAATCTTAAAGATTCAGTCCATACATTTCCAAAGCAGATACGCTGATCTTCCTTCCAAATCTGTCTCCTGTAAACCGCGTACAGCTTTTAAGTCAATACCTTCTTAAATCAGATCTTCAGTGTCAATCCTTCTGTTGTTGTTTCTGATTGATCAGTCGTCTGTAGAGCTGGACGGACACAAGCTAGACTTATCTTAGTATGCCATAATAATATTGCCAATTATAATATGGGGTTTTTGAACAATTAAAAACACTAACATAAATGAATTCAATTTTATTTCTTATATTATTTCAATATATAATGTCTACATGCATTATTACAATCAAATAATATAAGGAAATATATTGTGTATACATGTGTATGGTAATAATAATGAGTCAAGGTAACACGAGTTATAACGGTATGAATATTTTTGTCCAAAGATTTATATAGTACAACTCTTATAGCATAATGTATACAAAAAATTAATAGAAAAACAGACATAAATCAATGATATAATATTGATTGTGACTTATTATGTTTTTTGAAATTTTAATTTTACTATTATTTGTATTTTTATTTTTATTTTTTTGTTTATCAAGCATTACATGTGTTTAAAATATTCTAACTAGCTTACAAGATTCAATACATGGTATATGATTGAATTATGTATGTATTTTTATGCTTATACATGTGATATCATTGTTTTATGTTTGTATTTTTATGCTTGTCAAATTGTACATTATATCAAAAATATTGAACTATAATATTTTTGAACCAAATTACCATTATACGGTTAAATATTAATTTTTACATCAATTGAAGGGGTAGACCCTAGACTTAAGATATCTCAAAAATATCTCGACTCTAGGGTATCCCCAGAGCATCGTCCCTTAACATCGCGAAGATCTCCCTTATTGGTTGGTCAAACACCCTTATCCCACGATCCAAGTTCCAATATTTGCCATGAAACCCGTAAGTCACTTGCCATTATGTAATTATATTTACCTTGAATACATTGCTTACCAAAATAACTTACCTAGCTATTTAATACTATTTTAAACCAAATATATTTTAGTATGAAATATCATTTTTGTTTAGATCTAGGGGGAGGGGATACCCCAACAAGAAAGATATCCTAGCTTCTTTCTCTCACAAACCGCATTCTAAAGACTCGAGTTATGTCCTCTTGAATAAGCTCTTTGATTCCAGAAGGGGAGGAGGTTAGAACCTTCCAGTGATCTCTCTGATTCGCACCCAAACTTGCCAAGGCATCGGCAACTTCGTTTTGTTCTCGGTAAATGCCCCGGATAGAAACTCTCCAGTTCATGCTCAACCACTTCTTGATCTCCTTGAGGTAGTATGAAATATCATTTACATATTGCCAATTATAATATATAACGAATCACCACAAATATATTTTACTATTAAGTATCATGTATATACTTACCAATTATAATATATAATGAACCTACACAAATATATACTCTTGCTGGCTGGCAAGGAAATTCTTCTCAAAAGTGTAGCTCAGGCTATGCCCACTTGTACTATGAGTGTTTTCCTACTAACTGATTCCCTGTATAGTGCAATTGAGAGGACTATGAATCACTATTGGTGGGGTTCGGGAGGTGCTAATGGGAGATGTATTCACTAGATGGCCTGGGACTGCTTAAGTAAGCCTAAAAGTGTTGGTGAGTTAGGATTCAAGGATCTTCGTGCTTTTAATTTGGCTATGTTGGGCAAACAAGCTTGACGTTTTCTCACAAACCCCCAATCTCTGGTTGCTCGAGTATATAAGGCAAGGTATTTTCCTAAAACCACTTTTATTGATGCATTTATAGGAAATAACCCTAGCTATTGTTGGAGAAGTATTATGGCTGCCCATGATTGGCAATGGGGATTCTACCTCTATATGGGGTCACCCGTAGCTGCTTGATGACTTTGACCCAATGATACATACCCCTATTCCCCATAACTTACATGGCTCAAGTGTGTCTAGATTGTTGATAAGGAGACCAACTCAATAACTCGTGGGACTTGTCTATTCTAAGGGATATTTCCATCCATAGTGATGTGAACCGTAATATCAGGGTCCCTGTGACTCCATCTTATGGAGATCCAAGTGGTTCCTATCATGTGAAGAGTGGATATAGAAATATTGTGGGAGAGTGTAACATCCCCCCCACCCCCTTCCCCTTTTGGCTTTAGTAAGTGGAATGCACTTTGGAAGATTAAAGTCCCCCCTAAATGGATGACATTTTTGTGGAGAGCTATCAATGAGATTCTTCCTACCACCACTAATCTACTTATAAGGAAGGTTGAGGTGAGCTTGTCATCTCTAATGTGTGTCTCGTATCATGAAGATATAATGCACACCCACCTAGAGTGTGATTTTGCACATCTAGTTTGGCATGAATTCAACCTACTATTTGCTAGTGTGTCAGGGGGACTCTTTCCCTAGATGGTTTGAGAATGCAATGTGTGTGTTATCATGGGAGGTCCTTGTGAAGATTGTTGCAGTTTTTATCACTTATGGAATGCTCATAACTCTATTGTCTGGAATGTTTGCATGCAGCGCCCGGTCTAGGTGTGGTGAGCCACGTCCTTTACCGTTTCAGCTTGGAACGCTGCGACACACCCCCCTGCTGTTCCCGCCGCCAGCTTGCCGCATCATCCATCCCACCTGGAGGACAGTGTACTCAACTGTTTGTTCGATGGCAGTTACTCACCAACTGCAGGTACGCCCACTTTTGGCACAATCCTTCGCACTACCGACGGTGACTTCGTGGCAGCTTCAAATGGACCACTACCGTACTGCACAAATGCCCTTATGGCGGAGTCTCTCGCTTGTAAGGAGGCACTTTCTTGACTTAGGGGGCGTGGATTATCATCTGTAGCCCTCCACACAGACTACTCGAATTTGCATCGCTAACTCACAACTACCACCATCATACCAAGGTCTCACATTGGGTTTATTATTATAGATTGTTTAAGTCTTAAGGCTTCGTTTTCTGCTTGTTCTTTGCATTTAGTCTCTAGACAGTTTAATGTTATTACTCATACTTTAGCAGCTCATGCCTCTCAGCAGGCTAATTCTTTGTACTGGGATTCGGTCCATCCTGATTTTGTTTCAGCTCTTTTTCATTAAATATGTTCAGTTGTTTTTGCTTTCAAAAAAAATTACTATGAAATATCATTTACATATTTACCAATTATAATATAACGAATCAACACAAATAATTTGAATAAATTTATCACAAATAAACAAATCATTATAACATTTTACATAAGCTATTATAAATACATAATTACATATAAATAAAATATAATTTAGATTTTATATGACTTATGTCATTTACTTATTAATTATTATTATTTATTTATTTTAGTTTAATCATAATTTTTATATTAAGCACTTTCTTTCACCTTTAAAATGCCCTCACACATCAAGTCGACAAAATTATGAAACAGTAACTCACGATACTTCAATAATATTTTAAGTAAGAGAACAATTATAAGGAATGACTAGTTTTACACGCGCATTGTGCAAATGAGTTAATGCCCAATATTTATAATTATATATGAGAAGTTCATACATAAGTAATTTAATGTCGAATTTGTTTATTTAAATATGTAACTCATAGTATATGAATACAAGATAATATAGAAAATTCATTATAATTGTCACTAAACTTTTTTTAAAATAGTAACCAAGTATTTTTGTTGCAAAGAGTTCTAATATATTTTATGAAGGCACATAGATCAATGAATGAATCAACGGTATCAGTCTTTTAGGTGTTTTGCTCAGTGTTCATCTAATTCAACTCAAAGATATTGGACGATTGGTAAATATAATGTAACCCAAAGATCGAAATGCTAAAAAAAGTGTTTGGTTATTCAACAGTTTGTAGCAACAATTTGTTCCAAACCACTGAAAATACAAACAGTACAATTTACAATATTTTCACTTAGCGTTTTGGAGAATGATTTCCCAAAACACCTCTATATTTAAAAAAAAATTTAAAAAAAAAAACATTTACTGTAGAGCCATTTCAACTCCTTGAATAACAAGAGACAGCTTAGCTGGCTCACTACATGCCCATCATCGGATAGGCAAGCTTAATATTTAAATTGGAGCCCTGAGCCTCCTCACGACTCCTATGTCACTTTTACCACCGATGTGAAAAAAGTGGCAAAACTAATAATAGCCGAACGTTCAGCTCCCCATACGTTTTATTTATTTATTTTAATTTTATTTTTATTTCTTGTATTAAATTATTATTATTATTATTATTATTATTATTATTATTATTATTATTATTATTATTATTATTATTATTATTATTATTATCATTATTGTTATTATGCCTTTTAAGTCATTTTACATGTTAGTCTAAACAACTAATTTTTTTCAAATATCTTTTTACCAACTGATATAATTCGCTGGTCAAACCCGCTATTTGCTAACTGCTAACAGAATCTGCTAATTGCTGATTGTCAAACAAGGACATTACGAGGTAGTTTTCCACTTCAATTTGTTGTGTGATTTGAATATTCTCTTTGTCAACAAATCTCCCAAGTAGTTAATATGATTGGTTTAATTATATGTTTTTTCATGGCATTAATAAAATACTTGGTAAATAAATATATAGCATTATTTTGTATTATAACTTTGATATTTAATTAAATATAGTGTAAAAAAAAAAAAGATACTAGACAATGTAGTAAATATAATCAATTTATGAATTTGAATGTAAAGAATTTTTACATTTGAGAAAAATAAAGACAATATAACTAATGAAATTATTTCTCTTAATTAATTTATTGATAATGAATAATTTTTTTTTTGAATAAAGACATTGTAAGGAATATAATCAAGAATTTGAATGTAAAGAATTTTTACATTGGAGAAAAATAAAGACAATATAACTAATTGAATTATTTCTCTTAATTAATTTATTGATAATGGATAATTTTTTTTTTTTTTGAATAAAGACATTGTATGGACAATGTAGCGAATATAATCAATTGATGAAATTGAATGTAAAGAATTTTTACATTGGAGAAAAATAAAGACAATATAACTAATGAAATTATTTCTCTTATTTAATTTATTGATACTGAATAATTTTTTTTGAATAAAGGCATTGTAGACACATAATTCTAAATTAAAGAAATGCATATGTATTATTTTTTGTTGTAGCTACTAAATTATTTTTTTAATGATAGTAAAATAGAATATTAATTATGTCAACTTTGATTGGGATGGAGTTCGAACCTAAGATCTTTCTTATTGAAATCACTAGTTTTTTACGCGCATTGCGCGATTGGGATAATGCCCAATGCTTTTTTTTTTTTTTTAAATAAGTACTTTAAAGTATATTAAGGCAGGATTATATTAAAATTGTTCATGCATATATAATTGAAGGTTGAATTTGCGTATTTAAATAGGTAATTCTTCTCCCAAAGGTTGAGTCCTCAACCCCAAGGGCCCCCCACACTCCGGCCCGACAGAGCATTGTGGGAAGTTGTAAATCACGGTGACTCAATGGTTCAGTAGACAGGGCCAAATGCTGATACGCACAAGGAATCTGCCCACTTTGGACATAATTCTCGCACTGCCGCCGCCGAGGTTCAAAAGTTGGTCTCTTCTCCCAAATACTACCCACTAAACCATTGAGCTAAGCCCGTGCGGGTTAAATAGGTAATTCTCAGTTTACAAATGCAAGATAATATAATCAAGATTGATTATAATTGTCAATAAAATAATTGTATATGTATAGTTGAAACCAAATACGGGACATAAGGGAGAACACATAAAAATTAGGGCATAAAATATTAAATATATACTAATATTGTTTGAGGAGATTCCGACATTAGGATTTGTGGTTAAGTTCTATTAATACTTTAATATTAAAATTAGATTAATGGTGTAGTTATAATTCTATATTAGACTTTAATATTAGAATTAGACTAACTGTGAATTAACGGAAAAGTTAAATGGATAATCATATAATTAAGGATAAATTAGAAAATCTTAAAAGAAAAAAATTATAACCTGAACAATATGAACCATTCATGTGATTTAATAATTTGGCGGTCATTTTTTCTACCCAATGTTAATAATTAAATAAATTCGCTGGTCAAATCCGCTAGTATAATCCGCTAACTGCTGATTGTCAAACAAGGACATTGCGAGGTAGTTCTCACTTCAATTTGTTGTGTGATTTGAATACTCTATTTGTCACAAAAACTCTCAAAGTAGTTAATATGGTTGGCTTTATTAATTATATATTTTTTTAATTTTTTCATGGTATTAATAAAATACTTGGTAAATAAATATATAGCATTATTTTGTATTATAACTTGGATATTTAATTAGAAAAATAGTGCACAAAAAAACATAATAGATAATGTAGTGAATATAATCAATTGATGAATTTGAATGTAAAAATTTTTACATTTGAGAAAAATAAAGACAATTTAACTAATGAAAATATTTCTTTTAATTAATTTATTGATAATTAATAATTTTTTTTCACTGAATAAAGATATTGTAAGGACAATGTAGCGAATATAATCAATTAATAAATTTGAATATAAAGAATTTTTATATTAAAGAAAAATAAAGACAATACAACTAATAAAATTATTTCTCTTATTTAATTTATTGATAATGAATAATTTTTTTTTTTTTGAATAAAGGCATTGTGGACACATAATGCTAAATTAAAGAAATGCCAACTCTGATTGGGATGAGGTTCGAACCTAAGACCTTTTTTTTTTTTTATTGAAATCAATGAGTAAGTTAACGGTGAACTAACGGCAATTCTTAAAATTTTAACGGAATTAGTAACGGTGTGTGGGTATTTTAGGAAATTTAGTGTAAAATTTAAATCTGATCAATCTTTTAATCAATCTGAGCCATTCATTTGATTAAAATATGTGATCGCCATTTTTTCTACCAATTATAGGTCTAACTCTCTTGGGCTCTTATTAGTATAGTAGATATAATTAAGGATAAATTTGAAAATTTCAAAGAAAAAAATTAAAATATCAACAATCTGACCTTCATTTGATTTAATAATTTGACGGACATTTTCTCTATTCATTATAGGCCTAACTTTTTTTTAGCTCTCATTAGTATAGTAGATACTCCATATTTATTTTTGCACATATAAATAGTAGTTTTTTTTTTTTTACCAATAAATGTGATTTGCACCACAAATAATGTCGGATAACATGCTTTACAAATGGACGGTTCGCCGCTAATTCCGAAACACACAAAATACGTTGCAAATTGTCGTGACAGTTACATGTAACACCCACACGCTTGTACAATAAACAAGACAATTAATGGCAACTCCTACTTGGGGACCAATTTGGGAAATTGAATTGTAAAAGGACTAGATTGCAACATTATGTGACTCAGCCTATCTACGTGCCAATCAAGCAAAACTCCAAAACACATACTTCAAAATCGATAAGGAACTGCGCTAAGGAATCCGGGTAATAAACCAAGGTTTCCATTTTAAAATTACGTAAAAGATTTTGAAGGACCACCAAAAAAAAAAGTTTATTGTTCTTACTTTTTCTTTTTACAAGTTTTTGGATGAGGAGATAAATTTATAAATAAGTTATATTTATATAAGTAGGGGTGAGTTGAGCATCGATTTGATTCGGTTAATGTCCGAATTTTATTTTGAATATTCAAAAATTTTGGGTGATGTTTTTAACACTCGATATCTAAATCAAATTTAATTCGGATAGGTTCGGTTTGGGTGAAATTATTTCAAGTTTATTTCGAGTTAGTTTGTATATATCCAAAATTTTATTTTTATCAATTTTAAAATTTTAAAATGATTTTATTATTTTTATATTTATAATTTTTCATATACTATCAAACTAAAAATAAGACAAAATACTAATAATTAGTTAAGAGACTTTTGAAATTAATATATTATTAGTTATAAAATACATTCAAAACTAAATATGTAATTTATATTATTATATTTATAATAAAATTTTGGTTAGTTCGGGTTTTAGATCGGGTATGGATCAAATTTTAACACCCGGTATCCGAAGCAAATTTATATTCGGATATACTAAAAATTAAAATATCTAAACCGATAACTATTCGGGTTCACTCGAAATTTAAAATTCGATTCGGATTTTAGGTGTTAGTTCGGATCATCCGAATTACGCCCAACCCCATATATAAGTAATGCAATTAGAAAAAATAGAAGACAATAATAAGTAAAAGAACATGATAATGAATGTAATAATTTTGAGTACTATTGACTCTGTTACAATACAGTATGACCTCTCATGTGGGAGAATAACTTCATGTCACTATACCACAAAGTCATTGACAAATAAATATGTAATCATAGTAATAAATAAATATGTAAGTAGATAATAGTTGGAATGTGGTTATAGTGATATATAGCCAAATAAATGATAAATGATTTTGTTTTATATTTAGAAAAATAATTTTTACAAGTTTTTTCAGTTTTGTATAAAATTGGAAAATGTTTTTTTTTTTTTTTCAAAATGCAAACTATGCTAATAAACATATTTTTTGTTTTCTATTAAGAATTCATTTCATTTTTTGTCATTCTTCCAAAAGGTTGAACCCCAACCCTAAGGGCCACACACCCCGACCCGACAGAGCATTTGGGATT